CTTCCAATAAAACATCAAGATATTTAATCTTTAGTGCTTTTCCCGCCAGAGAGTTTGAACCTGCAGAAATAATTTTCCATGCCTGTTTTGCTAAGATGGATTTATTTAAAAGATAAAAAGGCCTGAATCCTAGTCTGCCTTGATCCTTTGGCCTGCAAAACTTCTTTCAGGACATAAGATGCATTCTATTATTACCACTGGCAGTTGAGCCCCAGAAGAAATTAGCACAGACAGAGTCTAGCATAGAATCCAAACTGTTTGGTAAAAGAAAGCAAGAAATTTGGTAAATACATGAAGAAGCTAGCCAAAACAGATTTGATTAGTGTCAATCTACCAGCTTGAGACAAAAGCGAGGATTTCCAGCCTCCTAGCTTGGTTTGCAATTTTAGCAGTATTTCCTTGAAGATCCGGTGTTTTTTAGTGCCATTATTGATGAATGTTCCAAGATATTTCCCCAGAGAAGTTGTGAAACGGACATTAAAAATCTTAGCCCAATTTTCTTTTTCGACTAGATTTGCATTACGGCTAAAAATAACTTCGAACTTATTAAAATTAACCTCTTGACCAGAGACGAAACAAAAGTCATCTAAAGTTCTCTTAAGCACCTCATAGTGAGCATCTCTAGCTTTGAAACATGTAAGAGTTCCATCTGCATAGCTAAAGCGAGTTATTGCTTAAGCACGCCTGCAAATTTTAATACCTTCCCATTTCCTGCCATTTTCTACTTTTGTAATAGCCTGGGAAAGAACATTAGAACAGATAATAAAGAGATAGGGAGATAAACAATCTCCCTGTCTGATTCCTCTCTTTGAAAAGAATTGTTGCGTAGGCTTGCCATTCATTTATAAGAAGCTGATAAGATATTGTCGTCACACACTGCAAGATCATAGTAACCCAGATTGGTGGAAAATTCGTTTTCGTTAAGACAACATGAATAAATGGCCAAGAAATTAAACCTTATCAAGAGCTTTTCAAAATTCAATCTTCAACGCAGCCCACTTCTTTTTGCACCTTTTAGAAGAATGAATACAATGAGGAAGTTCCAAAGCTGCCATGATATTGGCATAAATAAGTCCCCTTTTTTATAAATGCACTTTGCTAAGTAAGAATACGGTCATTTAAAATAACTTTGACTCGGTTAGCCAGAACCTTTGATAGAATTTTGTAGGCAACGCTGCATAAATTATTTGGTCCATAATCTTTAAAAGACTTAGTTGCCTCATATTTTGGTATAAGATAAATGAAGGTTTTATTCAGTTCTTTTAGCAAGAATCCTCTATCTCTACAAGTTTGAATCATGTTGAAAACATCTATGCCAACGGCATCTCGGAAGCGTTGAAAGAACTTTGCATGGAATCCATCATAACCTGGGGCGCTATCCCGTGGAAACTCAAAAGCTGCTCTTTTGGCTTCTTCGAAAGTAAACTCCGATTGCGAGAACTCCTGATGATTGATGCTAAGCCTTGGTAAATTTAAATCTGAGATGCGTGAGTGGATTTCCTTGCATGACGCTTGAGGCTTTTGACAGAAAATGTTCATAAAATGCCCACATGCAATGTTCGAGTTTTTAAATCATATAAAATTGTTTTGACAATAAATAATATAATGAAAATGAATTAATAAAAGTTGGTTAAGTCAGCATGACTCATAAGATAGTGAATTTAAATTCAACTGTCAAAGTGAGGATTTTATTGGTGAACAATTTATAAATATATCTGTAAACACTCTTTAAGTTTGGAGATATTTTTTGATTTGATAAGTTTATGGATCAATTCACCAAAAAAATTTTTTTACCCAAAAAAAAAATATAATGCAGGTGATATGACATATGATACGATCATAAAGTATAAGCCATGAATCATCGGCCAATGGTGCACTTAATTTGGTTGAAGCATCGGTTGTTCATCCGAATCCTTTTAGAAAATATCGAGTATCAAACAAGGCAAAACTCGTGTTTTTTTCACGCATTCATCGCCATTCCATTTCTTAGACTCTTGAGAAAGTGGCACAACCCAACAGCCTAAACTCTCTCTCTTTCACGCACACACCCACAAAGGCAGAATCACGTGCCCTCTGCTGTTCAGGCAAGCAAAATTCGTTCATGGTATTGCCACCGCGAAACCACCACGGGTTGTATATTTTTTTCCGTCCTAGTGCCGGTGTCCAATGGCCTGTTATTAACTAATAACAGCCATAATTTTATTTTTCAACGTTGAAACAGTTATCGTTTTATATAATTACAGATGTGTTACACCTGAACAGATCCAAGAAAAAAAAAAACGAACAAGTAATCTTCTCAAATGTTCACTCCTAATATTTTCTTGGAAAATTTGCTTTAAGGTCCTACTTGATATACTTAATTACTCATAAATCTATTGACAATTGAACTTAAAAAAATGATAACAATTATGTTGTTATTATTCTAAATTCAATTGTCAGTAAATCTGGGAATAATTAATCATATTGAGCAGAATATTTTTGGCCACTTAAATGGATCAGACTCATGACTGATTATATATAATTTATTATGCACGAGATAGCCATTCACTCACGAAATGGATATATGCCTGCGAAAATATTGTATTAGGATTGCTTGTGGCATATATTCTTCGTATGCTCCAAGTATATTATTTTCATTACTGTATAAGGGAATAATCCTTTTGATGCTTCTATATTGCTCCTGTACTTCAAATCTCGCTGTTGCCCCTAGTTTGATCAGAATCAAGAATTTCCAGGCAGCGTCTCTTTTCTTTTCTTTTTCTTTTTTATCGAGATTTATGAAACATCGTCATCGTCTGGAAGAAATTCAAACTAGTTTTTTTTTTTAAAAAAAAAAGCAGAGCCAAAAAATTCAAACTAGTTTTGGAATGCCGTTTTTTCAAAGGAAAATTGACATTTAAAACCACAGTAACCATCAATTTTATATTCGTTGTGGAGTCCATCCTAATCTCCGTGGCCACTTTCTTCTTCCCCGGAATCCTGAACTCATGTGCTTCGCAGCCATTATTGTCGTTATTTTTCCTCTCACCTTTTTTAAATATCACGACTGTTATGGCTTTTTGATTTTTAAAGGTTAAATGCATTTTTCAATATTCTGCAGAATACTTTTTTATATTTCCTCATATATTTAAAATTCCATTCGGAACCGTCAAATAATAATGATACAATAATAAGCTATATATATAATTCATTGAAGTATATATGGCATATTCGCAGTGTCAGCTTAATTAAAAATTTTACATAGCTATAACATGAATGGAGAAGCAAAATAATTCAAAGGGCCTATCTGTACTTTTCTCATAACTGGAACATACTTAACGTGGATCAAAGTTAAAAAACAAAGAAATGGATATTTTTCCAAAAGCAGTAAAATATATAACAGCATAAAATGGGTTTTTATAATAAATAAATATTAGCATTGATTATTTGCTACCTGCAAGTAATTACTAGTAATATTTATAATCAGCGGATTTTAAAATAAGAATTCATACTTACAGGTAAGAATAAAGAGGACAATATGGGCCTGATTCACAAAGCAAGATGTCAACGAGTCATGATATATTACTATTTCTCATATTAAAATTTTTAAAAACTCTTCAATTTTGATTATACTTATGAGATGTATATGTGGGCATCCAAAGTCTGTCGCCTCAGAAAATCAAGATCTCAGGTTCAACTATCAATCTTGATTTTTTTTAAAAGAAAAAAGAAAAAACTCGACGCAGCGTGATGGCAAACGGCTGCACAATAAATTCAAGCACGACAAAACGGGGATAACATCGTGTGTCGCTATTGGGAGGACGGGGATATCATCGGGTTTAGATTCGTGACTTTATTTAACACAAGTGTTGAACGGCTCTGTTATTTAGATTGTTAAAATTTAAATCAACAGTGAAATAACTTACTCATTTATTAATTTTAAATAAAATATAAATTTATAATTATTAATATAAATTTTAACAATTTAAAAAAATACAGATAGTCAGTGCTTATAGCAAGCACAGGTATTGAATTTAAATTCGGATATCATCAGGACCAGCTGTCAGGAACGGCTCCTACGCTATAGATCCGAGTGAGAGGGAGTGGGGCCTATTTCACGTGCCATCGTACCCCTCGCTCCCAGGTCATTGCTGGCTTCCACGTGTCCCTCATATACAATCTTCACACGTGTCACCATCCTCGGTCATCTAAACAGGAACGTTTCCGCCGTCTTTCCTGGAACCAGGACAGGTGAACGGAACCCCTCTCCTCCGCGTCGCGACAAATTTCTAGACTGGTGGTATTGTACCCTGCCATTCAATCCTTCCTCGGAAGAGACGATGTCGCTTTACCTGGACTACCCCACTCCTCCCCTCCCACTTGTCATTTCATTCATCATCACCCTGTACAGTACACTCCCACCACGTGTCCCATCTCCCGACCGTTGATGTAAATTACGGAATATCAAGATCTGCACCCCCGTGTTAAAAGGGTAAAAATGGATATGGCTTCTTTCATTTATGAATTGCATTTACCAAAGTGTGTTTACAAGGACTTTTTATTTTTTTGAAGAATCTTTTACTTTCAAGTTTCAAACTTACCATCTGAACTCTTCGTCTCATAAAGCAAGATAAATTTAATTGAATTGAAGTGGTTATGTTCATTCAGAGCGTTAAATGAGTAATGCTGTTAACTTGACATCTATTTTGTTTTTGACCTTAAAGACATATATTTAACTGAAGACATAAAGAACTAATTGAATTTAAAACATGAGTAGAAAGCAAAATTGAGAGTGCTGAATGCTGCAGGTTTTTTAAGAGTAGTTACTTGGGTACAATGGTAATCTCCCAGCGACGAAGGTGCGGAGAATGAATACAAGGGAGGAGAGAGATGATGGAGCCTTATCCATAGACTATAATGCGGCCCTACCTTTTTTCTTCTCTTTTCTTCTCTTTTCTTTGTTTTTTAATTTTAAATTTTTTAAAGCCCACTCGGCCTTTATAAAAGCACAATAGAGCAATGGAGTCGAAGATGCAAAACAAACTGGAAACCCATTAACGATCGCCAAAAAAGAAAACCCGCACCCACCCAGAGAAGGAAGGAAGGAGCGGAGAAACTAACTGCACCAAGATCGAATCTGTAGCTCTGATTGGAATGGCGACCAGTAAGGGCTACTTCGCTAGACCAAGCTACCGTTTCCTCCCCGGGGACAGAGACAGAGATTCCCCGCCCATGGCTTCCGATTCTATGTTTGAATTCGACGAGTCCGACATTTACAACTCGACTCGCAACAACTCGCCCGAGTTTCGGAAGCCCATTAACGCCTCCCACGTGGGCAGGAAATCATCTTCGTCCAAGCTATCGGATAACGGAGGCCGCGCCGCTGGGACGCCGGCGTCGCTTCCGGTCAACATTCCGGACTGGTCGAAGATCCTCGGAGAGGAGTATAGAGAGAACCGGAGGAGAGACAACATCGACGACGACGACGAGGAGAGTGACGATGGATGCGACGGAGGCAGCGGACGGGTGCCTCCGCACGAGTTTCTGGCGAGGACGAGGATGGCCTCATTCTCGGTGCACGAAGGGGTGGGAAGGACTCTGAAGGGGCGAGATCTCAGTAGGGTCCGAAATGCAATTTGGGCCAAAACCGGGTTCCAGGATTAGTTCCAGCAACAGCATAACCGAGATTTTTTTTTTGTCCGCCTGATATTTTTGTTTTGCGAGTATTAGTGTATTCTCGATGGGAGGAAGAGATTTCAATTTTCAATATTTGTATTGATTGATGAGAAATCTGAGTTTGTACTGGGATTCGAAGAGGAAACAGTGAGGATTTTCCTGGGTATAAGATGGATCCAAATTACAGACCCGATTGGGTGATGTGAGTCGGTTATCGTATAGAAGGATCGAAAGCTAAAATTAAAATGGGAAAGAGAAGGATGGTGGTGGGGCCGTCATGGCAAGATAAAAGGGATGTGGAGTGTGGGCTGGGTGGTTCAATGATTGGCGGGGTTGGGGCTTTGAAGTGGTTGAGTTTAGGTCTGGGACCAAAGCCTAAACGCTACATGAAAATTGAACTACTGGGTGATAAAACGATGTCATTAATGGGATCCACTGGATGATAAAGCTTTTATCTGTTCCCCCTTGAAAGGTTCATATTACATGATTTTTAATTAATTTAAGATAAAAAAATAAGTGATTTTATAAATTTTATAGAAAGAAATTTAGTTTGGAGAGATGGTATAAATGCGCTGTTTCTGAAAGAGTTTAGACAATAAACACATTTTAAAATGCTATGATTAGGAGATTGTCAAGGTAATGTTGGAAGTGAAAGGTTTGTGTCCTGGCGAGGAGAAAGCATTGGTGAATATGTGAATGGAAAATGCAAATGTCTGTTTCAATAAGGCGCGAAGGACGCATTGTTGAATGATTCTCTGGGTTTGGGTTTCCATCCCAGCGACAAGATTTTGCAGTGTCAGTTACGGGTGAATGGTAACACAAAAGGTGTTGTCGTCCCTGCATGTTGGTTGGACTCCAATTATCAAAGAGCAGAACTGCTTGCTTTTATCAAATCATTTTACTGTATGTGCAATTTTTCTTTATGAAGATACCGGTGCTGGCATACAAGTGAGTACAACTGTTGCAGAAAAAAGGCTGATTGACATTTAAGGACAAACAGCCACCACACCAAGGTCGGACAATTTTAGTTGACTGAATGGTCAGGACTATTTTGTCATCACGCGGTTCTCTCCTCTTTTCCATCTCTTTTGTCCTTTTCTTTTTTTTTTTTAATATCTATGTTTAATTTAAAAATTTCTAGGAGTGATATGTGCCAATTGGCATTGTGTCATTCCACATGAGACGACAAAAATCTGCAGTTTAGAGATGGGTTGGTGAAACGCGGAGAAAGATGGTATGTGCCCCTCAATACAAATCACTTGAACGCTTCCCCTATCACTTGTACTGCTTTGTGGCAATTGAGCAAGTCAAGACAATAACTATGCAATCAATCTTATTTTTCGCCATTTCAAGACAAAAAAATTATACTCCTTCCTAAAATATAAAATATTTTTAATTAAATCTTATTTTCAATAAAATAGTTATATATTTTCAAACCAACTATATCTTTTTATATTCACTCCTATTAAACACTTTACAATAAATATAAAGTCATTATTAATAAGGGTACTTTAAAAAAAAATAATAATTACATCTCAAAAGATTAAAAATATCTTATATTTTTAAACATTCAACCCCTCAAAAAATGCTTTATATTTTTAAATGAAGGAAATAATATTTTTGCTCGTGTCTAAGTTATTTTACAATGAGTTAGAATTATAATTAATACTTGATTTTAAAAATTATAATTAACACTGTTATATTCAGAGCCCATTTATTTATTTATTTTAAAGCGACTTTAGATTTTTTATGAAAAGTAATATATTGTGCAGGAATTTTAATAAAGATCATAGACTATCTTGCTTGATGCTGCAATCATAAAAGTGAATAATTTATTTAGTTATTACATTTAAATTTTAGGATACTTTCACATATTTTAGTATTTTTATAGTATTATTTCTCATATATTGTATTTGACTATTTTCATAGGTTATTCAAATTAGTTTTTCAAAATAACTAAAATTAATGAAAAAAATTTCAAATATTTTGCTCCCCTCCCCCCCTAAAAAAATTGTTTTTTTCATAAAAAACTTAAACAACAACCCCTAATAACAATCATATCTCTTTGTAAAGGTCATGTTTATTTCACACGATACCGAAATTCATTGAAATTTTTAATGCTTCATTAAAAATTTTACCGGTATAAACTTATAAGAAAACTAAATTTTATTTTTTTGGAATAAAGTGTAAAAAACCCATACTTTAAATTTAAACTTAACTAACGGAATTTAATTAAAAAAAAAACTTAACTAATGGAAAGCCTTTACTATCATGGGCTCCTTGAGGCCCATATCCTCAAAACCCAAAAGTTATTTATCCGGTCCCATAAGTCCTATGGGTTAAACGGGTCGGGTTAAGATGGACAGGTTCGAGTCGGATTCTGGATGCGGCGAGCGCATCCACCTACTGGTCAGACACTCTCAGAACCAGCCAAGCAGCTCCAGCGACTGGCAGCCCAAGATTTCAAATTCGCAAAGCAATCACACATCAATCAGAGAATCAAAACCTGATTGCGATTTCAGACTATACCGACGAAAAGTTGCTTGGAGATGCCGTCCGATACGGGTTCTTCTGCCTCCGACCATGACCTCGACCCCGAGCCTCAATCTGTTGAAGAACAATTGGCTTCGGTCACATTGTCCCTCTCTGATGGCGAACCATCGGCGCGTCAAGTAACAGACGGCGTCGTCCTTGAGTCTGTCAATCAGAACTCTCAGTTTGTAACGCAGGAACAAGTTCAGCGCAATTCAGGTCCTGCTGATGAAATTGGAGAGGTTAGGGAGCCTGCGGACCGCGATGTAGTATGGGGGAGGACCGCTTCGGAGCTTGAGATGGATGGGTTATCTAGCCCTAGCAGTAGTGGGTATGCTGGTGAAAGGGGCAGTAGCAGCGCGACTAGCGGCTCTGGAATTGATGACGTTGTTGGACAGGATGAAATTGAGGAGATGAGGAATGATGTTATAGTCGACGAAGTCTCTGATTCTCACACGTCCTGGCTTCCTGCGAAACGACATGTGGACGAGGTATGTGTCGTCAATATATTTGTGATTGATTTTTTAATCGGTCGTTTGAGAACCTTGTAATTTGTTGGAGACATTGCCTGCGTGTTCTTGGTAAGAACAATTGAGTGGACTCGATTCGCATATCCATCTTAGTGTTTCCTTTTTTAGTCCAATTGCATTATGAAATTCGTTTGATAAAGAAGATGAACTTCGTTTATAAGCTTACTGAATAATTAGAAGCGAGGTTTTTCCGCAAGTTAATCTCTTCTAAAATTTATGCATTCGTCTATTCATGTAAATATAACGTTCCGGATTTTGAAGTTATTATGTTAATAAACATAAGATGATCCTGCAAAAGATGCAGCAGTGTAAGAACAGAAATTGTTGAACCTTAAAATATGTGATCGCAAATGCATATTCAGTGAGCGGTGCTAGTCTGCTAGAAGGGCACCGCTCTTTTCCCTTCGAAGTCGTTATTGTCAGCTATTAAAATGTAATGGATACTTTCTTCTACAATATTTGAACGAATGAAATCATGTCTCTGATTATAGTAGGCGCTTATAAAGTATCTCATGGCAAAGAACTGTCATCCTGTATCAATTATAAGTTCAGTAAAGTCGGTAGCATGAAACCAGGCAACTAGCATGAGCAAACATAGGGACAGAGAGAGTTCTTTTTAGTTAAGCAATGTGTGAGCATGTAAACATGAATTGTAATAACCGTCCGCATATTAGCTGGATTTTGTTAATTGAAAATACTGAATTATAAAATGCTAACCAGAAATACTTCAAATTTGTATATATAATTCTCTTGAATATTTGTGTGCTAATTTCTGCAAAATTACTGTGTTACTGAAGAATTATGGTTGCAAGATACAATCAATGGTATGAAAAGTAATCAAGCTTCATGTTTGGTCAAACCATGAAAAGCAATTCGTCTGAACTATAATGCAATTTTTGTCACGTACTGATGCACATGTTTATTATCTACCTCATGCCTACATGGTAGGACAGTTTTTATGAGGATTCCTGTAATATCATATTATGTTTGAATGATGAATAAAGTGCAGGATGATGCTTCCATATCATGGAGGAAAAGGAAGAAGCATTTTTTTATTCTGAGCAATTCTGGCAAACCAATATATTCACGGTGACTCCCCTCATTCGCTTCGTTCAACTTCTGTTCATTTCTGTGTTTGGTTTGCTCCTTGAACATTGTCCTCTGGTTTTTTATATCTGATGCTTCCAGATACGGAGATGAGCACAAGCTTGCAGGATTTTCAGCTACCTTGCAAGCAATAATTTCATTTGTAGAGGATGGGTAAGTCGATGCTCATGTTGTAGTTTTATTTAACCTAATAGCTTCTCATTAACTGAAAATCCTATTTGGTTTGTGTTTTGAGTTCAACATATAAGGTCTTTTCCAACATTTTCTTTGTTTATAGGGGTGACCGAGTCAAATTATTGAGGGCAGGAAAGCATCAGGTATGGTCACTTTTTAACAATTTAATAGTGTTTTTCATTGTGAAGCAAGCTTTTAGATATGATTTTCTTTGAGCATTGGAGCATAGATATATGTTTTCATCCTAAGTACTAGTGTTGGATATGTATCCAACGTTGACACACCTTGGATATGGTTGGGTAGCATATCAGGACTTTTATAGCAGGTCGGATATGTGAAGGATATGAAATGGATAAAACTTGCTAAATATGAGGAGCACATTGTCTTTCAGAATTTTCTTGCATCACACATTAGAAAACTTATTGCCTTATAAGTGTAATTAGAGATTTTCGTCATAAAAGTTGGTTTCTTCTTATTGCCTCATTGGTGCTTCGATGTTCACTTTCATTCGTTCAGCATTTTGGAAATAAGAAGCCTTAAGGTTGAAGGTGAAGTCTTAACATTTACTTCAATGTGCTAAATACAACATTCTTGCCAAAGAATGTCTGAAGCAATTTGTTTTTTTGCTTATAGTTTTCTAGATTGATATTGCTTAATTTTCTCTGAAGTACCATGTCTTTTATTATATTTTTTTGGAATTGCTGTACTCTGGTATACACATTCTATCTTGTATCTATGCTATGTTGCTTTTGAGTTCTTAATTAACTTTCAGTGGTAAGTGATGCATGTTGTCTACCTTCTATACTTTTTCTTCGTAAGCTGCTCTTATTTGAAATTAATGCTTAAGGGAAGGAGGCTATAATTAACTTTGATACGAGAAATCTTAGTTTGAAATTTTGTTACAGGTGGTTTTTCTGGTGAAAGGACCAATTTACTTAGTTTGCATCAGCTGCACGGAAGAACCTTATGAGTCATTAAAAGGGCAATTGGAGCTTATTTATGATCAGGTATGGTTGAGTTATTATGATAATATATGTTTTGGATTGACATGCTTACTCCACCATGCCTCCATCTTCTGCTTCTGTTGCTCCTCAAGTTACTAATAATACACCATTTCATTTAGATGGACAAGTTTTGTTCTGATGGTTATATGATACAGTCCTGCAATTGATATGCAGATGCTAGTTATATTAACAAAGTCAGTGAACAGATGTTTCGAGAAGAATCCAAAGTTTGACATGACACCACTGCTTGGAGGAACAGACATCGTCTTCTCTTCTCTTATACATTCTTTCAGTTGGTTTGTTTCTCTTCTACTAGCTTGCCCACTTTTTTTTTAAAAAAAATAAAATCATGCATGTTGGGATGGGAATGCTTTAACTGCTTTTTTGGTGGTGATCTGCTTATTTCTTTGTCAGGGTTGAAATAGTGGTCGTTTGTGTGATAAAGTTTTTGTAGTTTCCCCTTATATTATTTTGGACTTGAGAAGTAAGTTTTGTTATTTTTGCCTATCCATTCCAGGAATCCAGCTACGTTTCTCCATGCCTATACCTGTCTCCCTCTCGCATATGCTACAAGGCAAGCTGCAGGTGCTATCTTGCAAGATGTTGCTGATTCAGGTGTTTTGTTTGCAATACTAATGAGCAGGCACAAGGTTGACTCTCTTCTTAATCTTGATTTAATAATATCTGACATACAGTAACTTATAGAAGGTTGAATGTAGGTAGTCAGTCTTGTTGGTGCTCAGAAAGCTTCTCTTCATCCAGATGATATGCTGCTACTTGCTAATTTTGTAATTTCCTCAGAATCATTTAGGCAAGTAGAACTGGCAAGTCTCTATTTACTGACTGCATCTCACTGTCGGTTCAATGATATGATATGCTCTTCATTTGTTGATATTTCATTTGTTTATTTTGGTAAATGAAGTAATATATTTTTGCATTGGCAAATTGTTTGGACTTCAGAGTTAATTGTTAAGATACAGGTTTCTTTGCTTTTATTGCTCGTGTGCTTTCTTATTTATTTTTATTTGGCTCTCTGCAGGACGTCAGAATCATTTTCTCCAGTTTGCTTGCCAAGATATAATCCTTTTGCATTTTTGTATGCCTATATCCATTATTTTGATGTGAGTGATTTGGATACCATAGAGCATTTGCTGTTTTTTACCATGTTTTAAATTTATGTCGGCACTTGATTGAAAAAGCTTCTGCATATTCGTGGCAGGGTGACACATACCTGATGTTGCTAACCACAAGTTCAGATGCCTTTATCATCTCAAGGAGTGTAGGTAAATGGTTGTTAATAATCCAACCACTAATATTGTTGGAATTAGGGCCTATAATGCAACTTTGCATATATGACCACGGTGGAAAGTTAGTTTTTGGGTAAAAGTATTACACTTTTTCTCTATAAAATGCGCAAGTTTTCCTGAAAAACAAGAAAATCAAAATAGAAAGAAGTGGGAGAAAATAGAATATTAGACTATTAGTAGATGGCAAGATATATAGATCTCTCTGTAGCTATTGTCTATCATGGCTTACAGATTTTCTTGCAAATTTACAGGATTCGTATTGAAATGGTCCTTTTGAAATCAAATGTCCTTAGTGAAGTTCAGAGATCCTTGATAGATGGTGGTATGCACATTGAGGATCTGCTTGTTGACCCCTTGACCCATTCCGAATCATCTCCTCATTTAGGCCAGCACAAGCCGCCAACAGAGTCTCTTGAAAGGTTGAAGGAACCTTATCTTGGTGTTGGTGGCCCTGCCGGGTTGTGGCATTTCATATATCGTAGTATATATCTAGATCAATATGTATCTTCGGAGTTCTCATCCCCAGTTAACACTCCGCAGCAGCAGAAAAGGTAATAAACTTAATAGTGACTTTGTTCACTTCTTATGCCTGTCCTTTTTTAGTCTCGTTACATTTTTGTCTTTAAATTTTTTGTTCTTCTTTTGTGTAGCATAACTAGCTTTCATTGTTGCAGACTGTACAGAGCTTACCAGAAACTTTTTGCATCAATGCATGATAGAGGAGTTGGGCCACACAAAACTCAATTTAGAAGGGATGAAAACTATGGTAAAATTTATTCACGTTCATTTATATCACTTGTTAGTTTAGGATATGCATGTAGATAAACCATTTCTATACTTGTCATTATAAGACACTAGTAATATTCCTTCCATGCTCAAATGAATCTTTTCATCAGGGGGAGGACAAAAAAGATGAATTCATGTTTCATGTCATATATGTTGTTAGTTTTAAGTTGTGATGGTTATCTTAGAAACAATAGAATATCTGGTATAACACAAGGCAATTTGATCTTATTTTGTATTTTTCTGTTTCTGAACAAGTAACAATTCTGATGAGGATTGCATTGCAAGTGCATTGCCTGAGTTTCATGTCTTCTCTTGTAGCTAGGGATCATAAAGTTTCATTATGTTTACATGCTCGATTGAGCATCTATAAAATTTTGCTGACTCATTTTTTATATTGCAGTTCTTCTTTGTTGGGTAACGCAGGATTTTGAGCTTTATGCAGCCTTTGATCCCCTTGCAGACAAGGTATATAACTTACGCTTTCATTTTTTAAATCCTGTTATCATTGAAAAGCATCATCATGAAAACCAAGTAATATTTCCCGTCAACAATAGTGCTTCTATTCCATCTAAGAGTGTGTGTTTGCTTTCATTTTCAACATTGCTAGGTTGACAATTATCTGATCGAGAATTTATTGATGTCTATCTTATTGAAGTTTTGGTATACAGATCTACATTACAAGACATAGATATTTCAATAAATCCATTGATAAACATGTCATTTTATACCCAAAAAAAATTATATGAAAAAAATATCAATTTTGATGGACTCTAACTATTGGAACATTAATGAGCATTTGCAGGCCTCGGCAATAAAGGCTTGCAATCGGGTTTGTCAATGGGTGAAAGACGTCGAGAACGAGATATTTTTGCTAGGTTCTAGCCCCTTCTCTTGGTGATTAGCCACCGGAACTGTAAACATGTATTATAATTTTTATTTAATGAAATTTCTGCGGATTTCATCCCGCCTTTTGTTTCTTTTCGTTATATTTTACAGGAATAATAAACGTATGATGTCAAAAGGATTCTAAAAGCAGTTCGTCAATTTGCGAATGATTTTCTTTTGTCATGATTTATTGTAAGATAGTTGAGTGAATTCATGATGTGGATCACTCAATTTTTTTTTTTATTTTGGACAAGAAGAAATGGGGGGATAACTTTTTGAATCAAGCTATCAATGGCTGCTCGGAAGTCGATTATTTGGGGGTCCAGTTTGATTTATTGTAGCAGCATACTTAATTAGTTGTGCGACATTGATGTTCAAAATTGAAAATTGTTAACGAAGGTAAACTAGGCTGGTAATTTCACCATCCAATTAACGCTGTAAGCGTCCGACACCAACCTGCCCAACAAATAAAATCTGAAACTGCGAGATTCAAAATGAAAAGAGGGGGCTGAGGGAATTGCAAATGATTTGGTGACCTCAGTGTTTCGTGTGCGGAAAGGTGTTCGTGTGGCTTTCTTAAACGGGAAAAATCAGGGGGGGGGGGGGGGGAACAGAATTAGAAGCAAAATTACGTGCGATGCAGAATTTGTTTTCGCGTGGGATGGGAAGTTCGTAATGTAGCCTGAACATGAACATGCATACTTCCATACTGCTGTGGCCATGATCATATTCATATTCTCGAGCGTCAGCAGGGGAAAAGCAAAATTATTTCATACTTTTTGTGGTACTGTTATGCGATTTTGGTTGCAGTCAACTCAATGCTCATCTTAACTTCTTTTTAGACATAATTTTTTGTTAAAAATATTGTTTATTAAGTTTTTAATAAAATATGACTAATATTTTACTCGTTAATTAATATTTGATGAGTATGCCCCTTGTTATAAATAATAATAATAATAATAAATATGATCGTAGATGGATTTAAATTTGGTAGGGGTGGGGTTTTTCGGATGTAGATGGATTACGACGCCTTTTTTGATGTAGTGATTAAGCGCAGTGCATTGGAATGAAAACAAGGGTTGTTTGTTTCCTCCCTTTCAAAATTTTATTTTTAAAAATTTAAAATTATTTGGGTAGAATATTTTATAAAAAGCACATCCTGAAAGTACATTCAATCAGTAACTAAAAATAAATTTCTGAAACATAACTATTTGAAGCTTTTGAAAAGTGAATTTGAAAAGTAGAATGTTATTTGACCATATTACCTTACATTTAATCTCTTATTCTTTTATTTAAAAAATATTTAATTCATTAAAAATATAATTATTATTTTAATAATAATAATTAGGTATCAATTTTTTTAGTATTATAAATTGAATAATTAATCATATTAATTTTTAGCATTAATGTATATTAAAAATTATAAATCTTTATTACATCTTTTAAAATTACAAATTAAAAAATACAAATAACTAGAGATCAAATTTTTAGCATTATAATCAAAATTTGTGTTATTTAAAATCTTTATTATATTTTTTAAATATTTTAAATATATTATATTTGTATAATAAAAATTATAAATCATTATAAATTAATGTCCTTTTTGGTAATTATACACTCAAAAGCACATTTCACTATCACAAACCAAACAACTTTCAATATATCAAACTGACTTTTGAAAAAATATATCCAAACACAAATTTCATTATAACAATTGATTTTCACTAAACTGACTTTCACCAAATGAACTCTTGACAAACTGAAAACCAAACGCACATTAAATTTATTCTAAATAAAATAAAAAGAATATATAAGAAACATAAAATTGCGAGCTCTGCAAGTGCAATGGAGATTATTTAGATGGGAGAGAGAGAGAGAGAGAGGAAAATGTGGGAGAGGATTAATATGGGGGTGGGAAAAAGTAGAATAGAAATATAATTATGGGCGAAAAGGGAAGACATGATGGTCCACTAAATGAATAATGATAAGGTTGTGTAAGTAAAATGGAATGGAGTGCGAGTTTGATTGATGAGGGAGGGGGTCATCATAGACGTGGTTGTGGATTTGGTGGCTCCATTTTGTCAAAGGACCAAAAAAAAAAACAGAGAGAGAGAGAGAGAGCAGTTTGGCCTTCACAGCTCATTTGGTGGCATTATCGTTATTTTGATGAGTCAAAGTTCACCGTTTTCGGAGATTAAAAAAGTTTGTTCCCCACTCAACTCCTCCCTCCATCATCATCAATGCCTTCCCCTCCTTCCCGTTTTACCCCTTCTCCCGTCTCTTCAAATCAAAATATCACTTCTTTTACCCTAGTTACAGGGCACATTTTATAAAAATTTTTTAGTTTTTGATATAGAACCCATGGGTGTTTTTTTTTTTTATTTTTAAATTTTATTTTTATCATAAATTTAATTGTATGACTTATTATAAACTGTGCATCTTTTTTAATAAAGATAAAGTTGAGATATTTTTGTATTTAAGATATATTAAATGAGTAAACCATTATTTATTAATTCTTATAAAATAATTGAGAGTGCCTTATAATTGAAATATAACTTTACAGTTATGAGACCAAATTTTATTATTGATGTGAGTATTTTATTGATAAACATCAGCATTTTAAACTTTGTTTTAGCCTGAAAAAATGTCCATGATCCAATTGGAGTTTATAAGTTGTAAGCTAGCTCGTTCAATTTATTTTTTTTTTTTAGCAACGAAAAGATCACTCTTTTAGGTTCAAATGCCTCCTTCCCTTTTCAGTTTTTAAAAAAATAACAGATGGGATAAAAATTAATCATTTAAACAGTTTTGATTCATTTGTAATTTAATTTTTATAATTTCATTTTATCAACTCAACCTCTTGAATTTCAGCTCTTGAATCAATCGTTCGTGTAATTCAAAAAATCATTTAGTCATTCAATAATTGAGTAATAACGGGAGCTTAAAATATATTGATCAATGATTTTTAATTGAGTTGAAAATTGAAAACCACTAAACTGAATAATTTTTAATGTGAAGCCTGACTGGTATACACTTTGTCATTCACAGATTCACTCTCATTTTTCCCCTTTCCAAGCGAGGAGGGGCAGATTTAAATTAAGATTTTTTATTGTATATTTCAATTGCTGCATTTTATAGAAAAACAACTTTCATGGACCCATCCAGAAACTAGTTACTCTCAAGGATCAAGGTCAAGTATTTAACACTTAATTTATGTGTCGCCCAAAAAAAAAAGGCTCAATTAAAGAAAATTTACGGGTGTCCATTCAAACAGCATTTAACACTGGAAGTCTCCGAGAATAAATAATTCATGAATTTGATCTTTACGCATATCTTTCCATAGTATTATATATTTTATTGCATTTTTTTGTGGAAGACACTTAAAATTTTCCGTGTGAACGCCACCACAAGTTCGTCATTAGGGGCTGTACCAGGAATGACAATTAAAACGAAACAGTATTATCTCACGAATGCCCATCACGTGACCCGCTATTCTTCAATCTTCACTCGCCTCTTGTATTGATTTTGCCCTTATAACTTTTTTAAAATAAAGAGGTCTCTTTATTACTGTTTCACATCACGACCTCATTGGCAGCCACTATCTAATCTTAAATACTTCATTTTACCAAAAAAAAAAATTAGAAAACCAAAATTTAAGAAAGATTCCAGAGATATTTATTAATCACGAAAATAATGACCCGCCTTTATCAATGCTCATCAGCTCAACATTATCAACAACGCTCATGGCCTATTAAATACTATGACTCTCACACTGGAATTTCCGGTCTTCATCCATCGGATTACAAAATATAAAAAGGGCATTCATTGAGTAAACACTTGCCACTAAGTAACTTTAAATTATCATGTCTATAGTCCGCCACATCACAAACTAATTGCCGCAAACTGTAAGGGGGGAAAGTACTGGCAAGTTTTCAATGACAGTTGAATTAAATGATGGGAAATTTCACTGGTTTACTATTCGATCTTCAGTCCTTGTTTTAAATTTTAAAGTGACCATTCACACGCAAAAAAAAAAAAAAGGAGTTCGAAGATTAATTGAATCCAGATTTTGCTAAAGAGTGTTGAGGTAATGTGATGAGTATTTATTGCAGAGGTCAATTGAATGGGCATGGGACAGATAGTCGTAGTTGCACATGTACATCTCATTAGTTTAGAGAATGATAGGTTTCTGGTATTAATGCACGCATTAGTAGACTTCACCTGTTTCCTTCCATTTTTTTTTTAATTTTTTCTCAATAAAAAAATTAGCATACCAAATCTGCCTAAGTTTCAAGGTGTTCCTCCGTTCTCAAAACCTGCTCCTGCGTCCTAAATATTAGCTGAACGATTGATGTGAAAATCAAATAAAAAATACCTCCGTATTTACATATTTGCAAGCGAAAGAAGCGATGAAAAATAATAACAATAAAGGAGGGGCAAATATGGTATAAATTATCTAACACACAGATGAGAAAAAGAATCCAAAACAATAAATGCAGTAGATAGAAAAGGTTATAAATTATCTATTGAATGTTTGTTTGACTACTTTTTCTAAATTGAACTTTGCTCATCGCACCTTCAAGCACAAGTGAGAATCTGTTTTTGCTAAATTGAATTTTCCCAAATTCATCCCCCACAACTGATGTACATGCACATAATGATGATGTGATTTCAAATTTGATGGTGGAGAGACACTGAGACTTGATAGTTTTTCCTTTTTTTTCCAGACATAAATCAATCAGGTTAACATTTTTTATTTTAATGAATAAATAAAAAAGTGAATGAATGGTGTTAATGGCGTGTATTAAAAAGGGAATAGCATAACTCGGATTCCTTAAAAACAAAGTGGTGCATCAGGGTGGGCAAAAGAAAAAAGGAAAAAAAAAAAAGGTAATCACCATGCTACCATATAAATTTAATTTCCGCAAAGGAAAAATATTTGAAATAGAAAAAAAAAAGTTAAGAAAATCTAAGAAAAGATCACACCCATGCAACAGCCTAACGTTAAGTTGACTCCCAGCAACAAAGCAATAAATAAGTTTCCCATATAATAATATTCTCCAAAAAGAAACCCCCCCCCCCCACTAGAAATTTACTCCTCCTTCCCCTTCTCCCTTCTCTACCCCATTCTTCTCTTTCTCTCTCTTCTGAGCACCTTCACCCCCCTCTCTCCCCCCATTTCTCCACCAGTAAGCCGCTGCGACACTTGATCTTGAAGGAGAATTAGCTCTGAGAACACAAGTCGGAGGAAAAGTCCGGGTCTTTAACTCCCGGGTCGGCTCGAAACCAGTCTGACCGATCTGGCTCCGGCTCCGGCTCCGGCTACGGCTACCATTTCCTCTGGTAGACCACTTTCTTGAAGGAGAAAGTGCGGAAGCTTACGGCGCAGAAATGTACAAGAACCAGCTTCAGGAGCTGGCACAACGGAGCTGCTTCAACCTTCCTTCCTACACGTGCATTAGGGAAGGTCCCGATCACGCGCCGAGGTTCAAGGCCACGGTTAACTTCAACGGCGAGATCTTCGAGAGCCCTCACTACTGCTCTACTCTCCGACAGGCCGAGCACTCTGCGGCCGAGGTTGCCCTCAATTCCCTCTCCAGCCGTGGGCCTTCGAACTCGCTCGCCGCTCGAATTCTGGTGAGTTTCTCCCCGGTTCTGTCTTTCGATAATTTCGGCTTTTGTTATTTTAGGGTTTTAATTGCTCTTTCCTTTCACTCTGGTTTCGATCTTTCTTCATTCCTGGTCATTTTACTCTGTAATGGAAAATTAATGGAGAAATATAATGCTATCTACTAACATGCGCGTGGTGCTGTGTTCTGGATGAACCTCGAGCTATTCTGAAAGGCGCTTAGTTCTATGTCCTTTTTGTTGGCACTGTTCGCCGCCGAAATAGGGGTTTGTCCTGCCGACGCTTGAACCTAGCGCGTTTGGTTGAGCCACAAAAATGACCGAAATACCCCTGGTCTTTGGGTACAGGTAGTGAAATATTCTGACTAGTTGACCGATGGAACTTTAATATTGCTGAGAAGCTAGAAATGCTGTGAACTCGGAAGTTTCTATGGAAGCCTCTGAAGTGACTGCTACTTCACTTTGCTTGGTTCTCTGAAAACTGGGTGCTCAGTGAATACCCGTTCGTGGGTGCTGTGGCGCAACCGTTTGGTATCTTTTCAGCATTTTTCACATGCTGTTTCTTTTTTAATTCAGTAGGAGGAACTTGAGTTTTGTCCTCGCAAATATCATCAACTCGAGTTCTTTGGAGCTCTGTATGCTGGTATGTTGCAGATTATGGGATATAATCTTTGGATGGATATTGTGCAAGTTTCTCTTGCTAAGAGCCCATATAAGAATCTCTTCCACGTTATCTCACCTCTGATAGATATCCATACTGCCGATCAATTTTGTGGCTTGTGTTAGTGTGCACTGTGTGTTTCATTTCCCAGAATCTGAGTTTGATGTCCGACTATTAATAGGTACTGGATAACAAATAAATATTGGTGTCTGGGGAACCATTAGTAGTTTCTTGCCCTTCGAATGTTTTTTTATGATGCACTCTTTTATTACCTGAATGGCAATAAATTGTTGGGATGTTTACCAAAATCAGAGGTGGGCTGCTTAATTTTTGGTCACTTTGTATGGTCATTTGGGCAGCAAGTTAATGGATCCGATACTCAAATGTCAAAGTTGGATGTATAGCCATTATCTTACCCGCTATTCCTAGTTCTCAAGGGAAGGCGTGGTTTATAATCTAAGTGTATCGCTGAAATTCTGCATTTATTTAAAGTCATTGTTTCAATTACATTCCGATCTTTATTAGAAACCAGTAAACCAGTAATCAGGAGAGGGCGAGATTTGTTTCCTAGAAAGGGATTAAGCTTTCTACGCCCCTCTTCTATGACTTTAAAGTAGTTTGCCCATTGTATACTTCTAGTCCTAGAGCACCTGGTTTTGTGCGCATTTTTTTGTTCTGTCAATTTGTAGGTTATTAGGAAAAGGAAAAAGACTAATAGTAACCGTAACTTGGAATAATTAGGATTCTGGATTTTTTTGCCCTTTTCAGTGCAATACATGCCAGCATTTGGCTTTTTACTTTCTTTTCTAGAATAGAAAATGCCACAGGTTATGTGCAGGGTAACATGTTTCCTGGATTTCATGCTAATTTTCTAGTAGAATTTTGTAATTTGAATGCTTGCTGTTGGTGCATTCCTGTCCAAAATACTATAATAGCAGAAGCCTATGTTATCTTTATTATAATATTTCGTATGCCTGCATCTTAAATTTTGTAGTTTTGTATGCATGTACTTGATCACATTTAACTTTTCAGGATGAGACAGGAGTCTACAAGAACCTATTACAGGAAATTGCACAAAGGGTTGGGGCTCCATTGCCACATTACACAACATACAGATCAGGCCTCGGACATTTACCTGTTTTTACCGGGACAGTGGAATTGGCAGGTATCACATTTACTGGTGAACCTGCCAAGAACAAGAAACAAGCAGAGAAAAATGCAGCTATGGCAGCCTGGTCGTCACTAAAACATTGTAAGCCGTCAGATAAACTTCTGAGTAGATAATTGTGTTGTCATTAAAACACATGAAACTTAATAAATTTGTCATCTGATTATATTTGCATATATCTGCTGAAAATTTTTCAAATAGAACTGTGAGATTGTCCCACCCTAGATTTGTTTTCTTTATTCTTCTAATTTTCTCAAGGCATGCCTCAAGTATACCATTTTGAAAAATTGCATCTTCTGGAACTGAAATGGTGCAATCATCATCTATTTCATTTTCAAGCAATGTGTTTTCGTTTACTTTTATCATCCATTGGTGATAAGGACCATTATCTAAGTGAGACAAACCAATGACAAATTTTCCTGGGTGACAGTCCTTAATGAAAGCCCCAAGTTATTTTCCTTGAAACGTTGTATTGCCATGCCACATTATTTTGACCTTGTCTTTATGACAATTAAGACGGATTATTGTTCTTTCTGTGTAAGTCAGACATAATGTTTCCAATGTAAACAGTTTGATGTGAATTTACATGTTCCTGTCAGTGGCAAAAGAAACTGCAAGCTCTTCATCTGAACAAGATAACAATGACGAATTAGAACAGATCACGATAGCACGGGCGTTACTGAACTACCGCCTGAAGGAAAAGATGACAATGTCAAATTCTAATGCTCCAATTCCATTTCCGAAGAAGTTTCAAATTCAAAATCCTAGGCCAAGTAGTGCACAACCTCCACCTGTCACTACATCGAAGATCCTTCCTTTAATTTGCCAAAGGATGTCACCTCGAAGCCGACCTCTGCAGGGGACAGCAGCCAATGACAATTCCATGGCACAGACTTCTGTACCGGAAAACCGAGGGCCCCGTCCCATGAAATTCCCGGCTTTAGGCGCAGCACCATATGTCCCCATACGACAAATGAGATCACCCTGCCGTGGAACTGCACCTCCGGTGACTATAAGGACTGCAGTGCCTGTATTCTCTGCACCGCCACTACCGCCACCAACTGGAGCTTCCTGTCAGATGATTGGGGCCGCCCCTGTACAAGTTGCCCCTCCAGTCAATATTAGACAGGCTATTCCAGTTTATGCTGCTCCCCCAGTTCGAAAAGATGAGCCTGCTCTGATCCCAAAAGAAGATCCCCTTACTGCAAGGGCCCCTAGTCTACAAGATAAAGCGCCTGCTAAACCTCAGGAGACAGACACCAAGACCGATATAGCCACACAGGAATCTCAGACAGTTCAGAGCTTGGTGCAGCTTAAAATTTGAAGTTTAGTGGAGTAGGTCTGTATTCATGGGAATGTTATCATGGTTTTGTGCTGGTCTTCTCTTTTTCTATTATATAAGAGTGATGTTATATCATCTTTTTTTTTTGTTTTTTTAACTCCCGCCCCATTTTGTCCTGTTAAATGCGACAGTTACCGCAGGTTAAATTAGCATCAGCAGTTATATATCTTTCGAAATTCAAGAGCACTAGAGCAGTTATTTCTATCATCTTTCTTTGTTTTTGGGTCATTGCATGCTTTTTAAGTGCGAGCAGTTTTCCTCCACTCGCAAAGTGCATGTCTTCTTGTTAACGTGGTAGCAAAATTCCCATGAGATTGGGAATATTTCAGTGGGAATTTGCGGACGCGGTCACGTGTACTTGCATTAGAAGCCTCGTCGAAGCTTGCAGGGATGGTATAGTTAGCTTTCCATTGCCAAGATTCTTTTAGGCTTCCTAGAACTTTGCTTTTAGCTTTAAGAGATAGAGGATGAGTCCTGAGTAGAATCAGATTCTTAGGCGATGTTGGAAGCTTCTCCGACATTTTGTACTTCGAAGGTGGTATGGTATAACACCGCGCATGAGAGGATTCGTCATTCTGCGTTCTACTTGGGGCATGTGTCATTGTTGATGGAGCAAACCTTTGGCCATTGGATGAATGAATTTATTCATATGACGTGAAGACCAGTAATTGGCAGGAATCTGGTAAACACTTTCATAAGGTATATTGTTTAAGGAACAAGTATACTTGAAATCTGTGACCTCAGAGAGAAACAGACAACTAGCTCATGAAAATTGGTGATTTGACTCTTGAAACAAAATCCGAGTTTGACGCCTGCCTTCATCTGTTCTTCCTCCTAAACCAATACCTTACATCAAAAGGGAACCAGAAATCTGAGTTTGGTTTTTACCATATTAAAAATTGTCTTGTCCTTTTCTTCAGAGTATTGTTCCAAGAGGATTTGCAGGACGAGGAAGAGTAATAAAATATAGCAGATTAAGGTAAGTTTTTTGTATGCGTGTCAATATTTCCTGCCATGGTAAATCATAAAATAAAATACTTGCACCGTTCTTGTGATCTTGTACCGAGCCGTCATTTTTCGCTGGGAAGCCTGCATCGCCATCTTTCTTTTGACATAAATCATGGACCATAAAAATATTCAATAGGTGGGAAGTAGAACACGCAGTCGTAAAAGAGTAAAAGTTGCTTGGAAGTGGAGTCATATTAAACCAGATGAAACGCCTGTTCTACCTGTCAAGTCATTGTCATCTTACAAGACCTGCCCGTACTATTTTTCAAAATCACCATGATACCAACACCGAAATGAAACAAGCACTGTCTCAAACTGATGATCTGTAACCTTAACAGTGTCGGAGTCTTGAATTGAACTTCACAAGGACTCACCAGGGGGGTAGGTGGTGCTTGTTAAATGCTCCTTTGAATTGGGCAGCATTTCAAGCTGACCACGAATTCTTCTCAATCGTAATTATGAAACAAGTCCTCTTTTCTATAAACATACTGATCAGAAACTACGAGGATGTGCCATTATTGGGACCGGAGAATGCCCAAAGTGTAAAACTGGTTATTCTCACTCATTTATTGCCCTCCAACTTTGTTTTGTCCTCATTCATAGTCCTTTTTTCTCCTTCTTCGCCAAGCAATTGCTTCCGCTTATCAGCAAATTTTATACTGCAATGGTCACGTTTTTGCTTTTCTTCTTGCAGGGGACCAATTCCAAAAGACTATTTCCAGGTATTATCAGGAATCTCATATCCGAAAGCTAGTTAACTCGAGATTAGAGTTTGAACTTTCAATGAATCTCACTTCAAAATCTCGGATCCATTTGAAACTCAAGTCTGTACTTTGCAATTTAATTACACAACAGATTGATCAAATGCAATGAGCAGCGCAAAGCAAACCGACCACGTTATTAAGTTAATGATATCATCAAATGTAGCGTCATGATTAGCCTGCAATGATAATAATATCCGCGAAATAAGGTTTTGCTTTGGATGGGTAGAGCTTAAAAGGGAGAATTATCCAATCTCTAAATCAATAGGCTTTCATTAAGATGGGGAAGGTTAAAGTTCGCTAAGTGACTTGCGCGACAACATCCAACTTCACATGTTGAACCAGTTTTGATGGAAATAGATGGGGCAGAACCACTTAGGAGATTTCACTTGCTCCCATATGGATCCAAAATTTTAATTTATTTTTAAAAATATCTGAAAATCCCACTGAGGCAGGCAAGACAGATGAAGTAGTTAAAACAAAAGGAGGACATCGATGGAAAATTAAAAGACAGTTCCCACGTCGCAGGTGAGGACAAATAAAAATAAAATAAAATAATTGAGTTTTGATCTCTTTCACACATTATTTAAAGTTGAGGGAAAGCAATGTGAGAGAGAGAGAGAGAGAGATAACTGAGATGACCGAGGTGTGAGACGAGAGTAAAAGATTCAAGTGCATTTGAAGCTCTCCTACAGAGGTCCTTCGCTCAAGATTTTGTCATGAAGGAATCATTAATTAAGTTGAAATTTGTGGGTAATATTTGGGGCGTTAGAAGAAAGAACGGGGAAGGAAATGACAAGACAAGCCAGAGAGAGTCACATCAGATGGAGTGAGAATAGGAGAGGGGGGTCCCACGAGGCAGTGAGGTTGATGACAGATTAGAGGTTTGCGTCAGGTAGTTATACTGTATTCAATGTTTTGCTTGTCCTGGAGTGGTACTCATCAATTTCTTTTGTCCTATTCTGCTCTCCTCCCCATGCTCTTTCTTTAATCAATTCAATGTTCCCGTGCTTATCTCTTGATTTACTCAGCAAAGAAATCAAACATCCTGGGACACGGGCTCGCATTCAGTTTCTCATGAAAATTAAGTGAATATATCATCAATTCTTTTTCTATGCTTGGTTTAGATCGTCTCTTAAGATTTAGAATTTTAGATCTCTCGGGATAAAAGGGTTGTAAAATATTTCTAAAATTAGAAGAAGAGAGGAAAGAGAATGTGTTTGATATTTTCACTGTCCATGTCACTGCGTCGTCTTTTATTTCAAAAACATGTGAACCTCACAACATTTTTGTGTTGCTGTTCGATTAATACGAGTAAAACTCAGCTTCCTTCCAGTAAGTCTCTCTCTCTCTCTCTCTCTATTGTTCATCCAGTGCCGTCATAAGCAGTCAACGTCAAATTTCAAAATGGGAATTATGTAACCTAAGATTTAGATTGATGAATTTAAATTTAAATTTTTAAATTTATATATTTATAATTACTTATTTAGATAATGTAACAAATATTAAAGTTAAAAGAAATACCAGTTGAAATGCAAAACAAAAATAAAAAGTACCGATGAAAGATAAAACAATAAATGAGAAAAGAGATAAAAATTAACAGATATAGTGATAACAAAAACGAAACGGTTGGAGTATTATAAATTTTCAAATCCAATTAAATGAGGAATTTAGTTAAAAAATACTCTCTCTGTTTATATTTATTAAAAAATTATTACTTTTAATTTTTTAATATGAGTTTAAAATTATATTTTTTAATAAATATTTATTGCAAACTTTTTAAATTTTTTTTCATAATTTTATCACTTATATTCATAACAAATAATTAATAAAAATTTAATTAATATAATTAATTAAGTATATTGTAATTTAATTTTAAATTTTTAAACACAATTAATATAATTAATTATTTTAAAAAAAAGTGTGATGGGAGAACATGCAAGGTCCAAATTTTCATAACGCAAAAGATAAGTAAATATGAAGAGACGAGTGGAATTGTCAGAAGTAAAAGCGAAGTTGATTGGAAGGAAGGGACTGGACTGCAGAGGGAGGAGGCGGTGGTGGTGGGACCCACGGGAGCAAATCCTTGCTTCAGCACCAAGCCCTCCCCGGTTCTCTCTCTCGTTATTTTCGGGGTGAAAGCTACAGAGGCACCACGCGAGCAGTGATGTGCTTCGTCTCAAATCATGTCAAACATTCAAGTCTCCCCAACAAGCAAAGCTATCCGTGGGCCCTTCACTTCAACACCACTGCCACGTCACCACGCGCCCGGCCCACTTTACACGGGCCCCATCCCCCATCCTCTTCCTTCTATTTTTTGCCCCTTTTACAAATATATTCCTTTCTCAAGGAAAAAGCAAAGGCCTCGCAGCCAAACCCAAAAAAAAAAAAAAAGGTGATTGGAAACCCTGTACCCATTAGGCGGCATGAGAAGAGAATGAGGGAGACAGGGGGACAAAGTGGAGGAATGTTAATCCCATCATTCTAAACCTTATCAAAGTTCAATATTCCTCCTCTGACTTTCTCATTCCTCATCATCCCCTCTTCATTCTACCCTTTTCTTGGACTTATCCTCCTTCCATATATTACATCCTCATTCCAAACCCAAAAGAAAAAAGAAAAAAGAAAAAGAAAAAAGTGGGGGTGGGGGATGCACATCACTTGTCTCCTCTCCTTTGTTTTCATCGCCGTCCCACCGTCGACCCAATAATGCCTTTTTGTTAAGCCCGTCAAATATATTATAATCCTTCGATTGTTCTATGTTAATTCTTTGATTAATTATTTATTAGCCTTGCTTGCAACTCCACGGCATATTGCTAATTAAGTTTTGGGTTGAAAAGTTGTATTGTGCTCGACATTATACGAATTTAGCTCGGTAATACTGAGTACAGTACTTTTACAGGCACTAAACAAGGTAAATATTGTACAGGGACTAGTAATAAATATGGTGTTACCATAATTCGTAGACAAGGAGATAAAAAGCAGCTGTAACCCATGAAGACGTTTGCAGTTTGATGGAGGATGATGAGAGAAGAAGGGGCTGGTTGTGTGTGGGAATGAAGAGCCGAATTATGGCGACAAAGCATGAAAGCTCTTTTTTGCTGCACCTCCACTCTCTCCATCCCCTTTCTCTTTCCATGCTTCTATTCCTTACCAAATCCCTATCTATCATTCCCAATCCCGAAATTCATCCACTCACTCAACCAAATCTGATCAAACTTGGTCCTCATATTACTAGTTAATTTAAAAAAAAAAACAGAAAAAGTCAAAATTTGCCGTTTCTCTCCTCCAACAACCTTTAAAACCGTCTCTTTTGGCATGCAGATTTGCTGGCTTCTCTTCGAATGCAAGCTCTCTCTCTCTCTCTCTCTCTCTCTCTCACACACACAAAGCCATCCGCATCACGT